AATTAATAATTATAAACCTGGCATTAATAAGTATAATATTGAAGATAAATAAAATACATAAAAGGAATGTTTTTCTACAAATCCAGAATAAGTATCTAGTTGAGAGAATTCTCACTGGACCAGGTATCTCATTCCAAAATACTCACACATAAAGCATTCACAGTACAAGCTCGTGGCAAAATTCATAATTAAATGTAGTTATAGATGAGAACATAATTCAGGGCTGAGACAATTTTCTGCTATGACATAGAGCCATAAGAAAAAACTCCCTCTAGCTAAGAGTCATAAAACAAGCTGGTAATGAAGCTCATTTGCAAGGGAAATGAAGCATTTGTGTGAGCTGAGCTGATTGCCTTCCTTAAATGGGAAAAAAATCACAGTCTTTTAAGCCTGATAGGAAGGCTCTCCTCTGAGGAAGACTGTGTCTGTCTCTCCAGTCAATTCTTCCCCTCCTTACACTGAGGTGAGAAGGCTCAAGATGTTGACATGGCACATAACTAAATGGCAATAAATTCATAAATTTGCAAGAATTGTGAGAAAATTGTGAAGTAAAACGAAATAACCATAAATCTAAGGAAAATGTAGCACAGGTAGTCCCTGACTTACCATGGGGTTCCGTTCTGATGACTCCATCATAAGTCGATTCGGACATAAGTTGGATACCTCTTTTTCTTTTTTTAGTTTTCATTATTTTTGCCTTTTATTATCAGTGTCTTTATAAATCCAATCTTTGTTTGTCTTTGGGGGTTGGAAAGTTAACATACAAACTTACAGATCTATTTTAACATTGTATGTAGTACATATTACTAACGATAAGATGTACAAAAAAAAGATGGTAGTAAGTGCATCTGGACATAATGTAAGCTGGGGACTACTTATACAAAAATTACAAGTCCAAAGAGCAAGAATATACTCAGCTGCTAACCAAAAAGTTGACAGTTCGAATCCACCAGCCGCTCCTTGGAAAGCCTGTGGGGCAGTTCTACTCTGTCCTATAGGGTGGCTATGAGTCGGAATCAACTTGAGGGCAGTGGGTTTGGTTTGGCGTTTTTGTGTTATACATATTTAATGTTCTGCTTCAGCATTGCCTTTTTCTAGGCACTAGGGGTAGAACTGAAGGAGCTCTGGTGGTGCAATGGTTATGCGCTCAGCTGCTGACCAAAACATCAGAAGTTCAAACCCACCTGCCAGGAGAAAAGACCTGGCAATCTGCTCCCAAAAACAATACAGTCTAGGAAATCATATGGGGCAATTCTACTGTGTCATATTGGGTTGATATGAGTCTGAAGACCAAAGAAGAATTGATGCATTTGAATTATGGTGGTGGCAAAGAATACTGAATATACCATGGACTGCCAGAAAACAATTATGTCTTGGAAGAAGTACAGCCAGAATGCTCCTTAAAAGTGAAGATGGGAAGACTTCATCTCACCTACTTTGGACATGTTATTAGGAGTGACCAGTCCTTGGAGAAGGACATCATGCTTGGTAAAGTAGAGGGTCAGGAAAAAAGAGGAAGGCCCTCAAAGGGATGGATTGACACAGTGGCTGCAACAATGGGCTCAAACATTGCAATGATTGTGAGGATGGCGCAGGACCAGGCAATGTTTTGTTCTGTTGTACATGGGGTCGCTGTGAGGCAGAATCAACTCGACTGCACCTAACAGTAACATGAGTCAGAATCGACTCTACGGCACACAACAGCAGCAACCACAAAGGGTGGAACTAAGCTTTGCCCATGGTGGCAGACATTGGCTATTTTTGCCTGTCCAGTCTCCATTCCTCCCTTTTCTGATAGCACTGCTTAGTTTTGTTTTGTTTTTCTTAACAACCCCCATTCCCTGACAGTGGGCATGTGTGATGGCTTTTCAATCAAGGATCCTGTTCTCTTCTGGCCAAGAGATGGGCATGTGACCCAAGCTAGACCAATCAGAATTTCCTCCCTGGGAGTCTGCATCTTGAGTTGAGTGATGCAAGGATGGAAAATAGTCGAAGCTGTTACATCCAGACAGTGACACCTAAAGAAGATGGTCCTTTGGTACACCCTAGACTCCCAAAGGAAACCCTGGTGGCTCAGTGGTTAAGAGCTATGGCTGCTAACCAAAAGGTCAGCAGTTCAAACCACCAGCCGCTCCTTGGGAACTCTATGGGGCAGTTGTACCCTGTCCTATAGGGTCACTATGAGTCAGAATCGACTTGATGGCAATGGGTTTGGGTTTTTTTTTTTTTTAGACTCACAAACCTGCACTGGGGGACGTCTTTTCAGTTTATGATTACAATTCGGATTACAAGCTACTCCTCATCCTTTTATTACATTGGTTTTCTGCCAGAGTGTGTTTCTATTGTTCTGACCAAAGGATCTTGAAATACACATCCTAATGGGGAAGAGGGAAGTATGTACGGGTTCCTCAGGTAACCATTTTGGCTCCTTTTTCCCATCTGTGGCAGTTTCTGTTCATGGATTGGGCTGAAGCTAACTGAGAGAAGCAGTATCCAGTTATACTCATGTTTTAGGTCTATGAACTGTAGGCTTCAAATAAAACTGCAGGAAGTTTCCACACATTTTTGCGTGTGTACTTGGCATCTGTATTTTCACTGTAATATACTAATTGATGGAAAGGGGGGCATGAATGTACAAATCAGTCTGGCCATCTACAGCTTCATTTGTTGAGATAAACCTTTAACAACCACAGTCAGACTTCAAGCTTCTATCAGGGGTACTTAGTGTGTTAAGCAGCAGCTGACGGAGAATAAAAGGTTCAGGAAAGCAAGCACCATTATCTTTTTCTTTCCTAATGACCTAACTACAGTGAATGATGTATCAAAACCAAAGCCAAATCCTTTGCCATCGAGTCGATTCCAACTCACAGTGACCCTACAGGACAGAGTAGAATTGCCCCATAGGGTTTCCAAGGAGTACCTGGTGGATTTGAACTGCGCCACCAGGGTTTCCAATGAATGATGTAAGATCTCCATTATTACTTCTCATTCAAATAAATAGGAAAGTGCAATGTATACCAAGTTTCTTTAGTTAAATAATTGACATTATTATTATTATTGAAATGGAAATTGGATTTATATTATAACATACAGTGAAAAGTGATAATAGAATTCACCCAACTATTTTATAGGCCCACCGCCTGTCTGTCAGTTTCTCACACTGCGGCAGCTTACATGTTGCTAAGATGCTGGAAGCTATGCCACCTGTAATCCAAATACCAGCACAGTCACCCACGGTGGACAGGTTTCAATGGAGATTCCAGACTCAGACAGACCAGGAAGAAAGGCCTGATAATCTACTTCTGAAAATTAGCCAATGAAAACCTTACAGATCACAACAGAACATGGTCCAACTTGCTCCCTTTGGACACGTCATAGGAGAGATCAATTCTTAGAGGACGACAAAATGTTTGGTGAAGCAGAGGGCCAGCGAGGGCGAGGGACACCCTCAGTGAGATGCATTGGCACAACGGCAACAATGGACTCGAACATGCTGGTGATTGTGAGGATGACGCAGGACCAGGCATCATTTCATTCTGTTGTATACAAGGTCGCCATGAGTTGGAGTCAACTCAATGGCAGCTAACAACAATAATTTTAAAGGCAGCTGTTTCAATAATCCTACCGAGTCCATCTATTCATCCACTTAATAAACATCTAATGAGCACTTGCTATGATTTAGGCATTGAGATAACCATTTGGGACACAGAGCTTCATTCTGTCGTTTACAAATATTTGCTGAGTGCTGATGGAAACCCACATTTCTGCCTCTGGGAGCCTTCATCTTGCTGGAAGAAGTTTACGTGTAAACAGACAAATGACAGTAAAATGCACTAAGTTCTTTTTTATTTTATAGACCCTTGCTACACAATGTGTACCTTGAACTAGCAGCATCGGGCGTCACCTGAGAGATTGTCAGAAATGCAGAATCTCAGCGCCTGAGACCCACTGAGTCAGAGTCCGCATTTTAACAACATCCCCAGGGAATTCTCACACTTTGTAAGATCTGGGAAGCACAGGGGTAGACACAATTCTGAGGAAACAACAAGTTGGGACAGTGTAGCTCTGCCTGGGGGAGGGGCTGCAGCCTTCACAGAGGCAGGTCTTGAGTAAGTGCTGGGAGTTTGCTAAGAGAGATGTGTATGCAAGGGTGTGGGATTGTGAGAGGGCAGGGTTGTCAGGAAGAGGGAATTCTAGGTCACTGAAAGCAAGTAGAAGAGGTGAAGGAAAAGGGAATGGTTTGAAGTTGAGACTTAAGGGATGAGTAGGGGTCAATTATGAAAGCCATATCAAGAGTGAGGCCTTTAGGAGTGAAAAGCTTTG